TGATTGGGGAGGTCCGAGGTCTGAATTCAGGGGTCAACGTGTGGACATGACTGGGGGAAATGGCTGGTGCGGATGCAGCTCTAGATGGCTTTTGGAAAGCCATAAGCCCCTTGCCCCATAAGATACCAAGCCTTTCTTTAAAGCAGGAGCATGACCCTGCCCCTGCCCCTGCCCCTGCAAGGTCCTGAGGAGCTGTCCGAACCCCTGATGGATGTGTCCCTCCCTCCTCACTTCCTCTCTACCCCTCACCCTGTTTCGCTGTCTTTGTGGCACTCAGGCTCTATGAAATAATCTTGCTCATTGGTTCGCTATTGTTTACCATCCATATCACCCCAGTGACATTTAAGTCCTGGGGACTCCATGTCTCCTGACCCCAGAAAAAGATCAGGTACCATACAGATCTCAGGAGGGAATGGATGGTAACTTTTGACACCAGCGGTTGGAATTCCCCTTATCTGGATGATCTTCTTCTCAAAGGGCCACAGAGGTTGTCCTGTGTGGGCTGGGCAGGCCTCAGCACCCCATTCATCTTTGGTAAATGAACCTGAACTTCCAGCTCTCATTACAGAGTTGTATTTTAGGAAAAGTGCTGTTGAGGCCCAGCCTTCACCTTATAATCCAATCTGGCCCACACCAGACAAATAACAAAACCTGTCAGCCTCAAAAGGTGCCCAGGGGACCTGGGAAGGGTTGAAAGTAGCAGGTCATAGAGTGGTGCAATTCGTTAAATTCATCCCTGACCCCCGCCAAGTTTCCCCAGCTCACAAGGCAGCTGTTACTACCAGCTTTACAGAGGATGAACCAAGTCCTGTGAGATGGGGGAGGGGACTTGGCCAAGGTCACCTGCTGGAAAGCAGCAGACCTAGATGAGAGCATCTGTGTGGGGATTGGCACTTAGTAGGTGCTCAATAAATAGAGCAAAGGCAAGAATGTAATGACTCAGGTTTCCTGAGTCCCATTCTAATACTCTGTGCAGCTTACCACCCCTAAACTTTCCCATTCTGGAACAGCTCAAAATCTGGTTTACACGGCAGAAACACTCGCAAAATGAGTAACCATTTTCTGAAATAAACTCGTGGTTCAAACAGCCCCCAAATCCTGTTGATAGGTACCATTTATCAGCTAAGAGAGGACTTAAGAACACCCCTGACTACCTTTATTTTGACACGGCCTTCACTCCAGAGCAGAAAAATGGCCTCTTACATGAGGAAAATGACAGTATTTACTCTGTATATTTCCGACAGTATTTACTCTGTATATTTCAAAACCAGTAATTAAGAAAACATAAGAAACCCTGTCAAATGTATTAATTGCTCTTTTCTTCCCTTCCACTGCCCTCCCCACTCCTTCACCTTCCAAAGAACAAGAAAAAAGGCGGGGGGCGGGGGTGGTGGCGGGAAGAATTCACAGGTTTGTATTATCTGATACTTTAATTAAGGAAGAATAAATGGGACACCACTGTGAGCTTAGAAACGCAGCCTCATGGAATGGAATTCCTTTTTGAATAAACCTGATCACCATGGTGAGACTTTCCCTTAGCTGCATAAAGACAAAAGCAGAGCTCTGGCAGCTTTTGATGAAGGTCACTCTGCAAATCAATGGCAGTGCCAGCATCAGACCTGGGAATCCTTGACTCTGGTCTCTCTGTCCCGGCTGGTGTCCAGGCTGCCTCCCACCAGGAAACCTCGGCCAGCTGGTAGGTAATTATATGTGCTAATAGTCACTGACACTCCAGCCGCCAACACCACGTCCCAAGTTCCCGCATTGTTAGAACACCAAACTACCTTCCCCTTTCTAGGGCTGTTTATTTAGAAAGAAGGAGCTCAGCTCTGACTGACTCAGAACTAGGAGCCCACCCGGCAACTTCTAAAATGAATGTCTGGGAGGGGAGAGAGGCAAGGAGACTGTAGTTTTACATTATTTGCCAAGTCCTCCATTCTAGCCCTGCTCTGCCTCAGAGCAGCTGTGTGACCTTGGACAAGTCCCATAACCTCAGTGGGCCTCAGCCTTCTCATCTGTAAAATGGGATAATAAAGGCTGTCTTGCACAGTTGTTGGGGACAGCTATGTACACGCCACATGGACTGTAAGTGTAAGAAACAGGGTGGGTCCCTGGTATCTATCTGTTGGGTGTCTTGAAAGAACAAAACTTCTTTGATCCTGTTACCTGCAAAATGGAGACAGTAATTCCTACTTCATGTCACATTAAATAAGATTAGAAAATATACGTGTAGATATATCTGTATGTTGATTAGTCTGAAAAATGTGTGTTCTTTTTGAAAGAAATGGTTTATCCTTTCATGTCCTGAATTTTTTGTAGCTAATAGAACTTGTAAGTCCTTCACTTACTATTTAGGTAAGCTAACTCAATATTTTAGTTTTCTCTTTGAAGATGATTTCCAAATCAAATGAAAATTTAGCTCAAACAATCAATCAGTATATTTTCTGTACACAAATCATCATTCAGGAGACAAATGAGTCAAGAATGAAGACACAAATGATCAAAAAGAGTCCAGGGACTCAGAGGAACCAACTTCCTCTGTTCCTCTGTGCATTCTGGCCTGTGTGCACATCACATTCACATCCTGAAAGCCAGGGCTGAGGCTTCAAACTGGACAGATGCTGAAATTGAAATCCTTGGTGTGACTGTCAGAATGACACACAATTGGTTGCTGGACCATGCAGAAAGAACTCTGTGCTGGGGGAGGGGTGCAGAGATGGACAGTGGCCCCTGAGGCTCATGTTCAGTCTGCAAAATTGTGAAAAGGGACAGAGCCATCCAGAAGATAGCATCCTCCGAGAGGGCTTGTGTAGGTCTAGGGTGAGGGAGCAGAAAAATGACACATGGTTGTATCAGTGGGTCTCTGGATGTGATATATGGCTCCCAACTCTGTCACTTACCATCTGTGTGATGTTGGCAGAGTTACCTAATGTCACTAAGCCTTGATTCCCTCCTCTGCAAAATGGGGCAGCACTGCTTTTTTCTGGATACCAATGTTTGTTTTGAGGCTCTTATGAGAAAGTATTAAAGGTCTTCAAAAATTAGAGAATAATACCTAAGTAGGAGCCGCCTCATTATTTCAGTGGTAGCAGAGGCTCGGGGAATTTAGTTAAAAATGACCGCTTTATAGGCACTTACTTCCTTTCAGGCATTGTTTGAGTGAATAGTGCACATTCATTATCTCACTTCGTGCTCACACCAACCTCTAAGCAGAGCTGCTATTCACATTTCCACATTACTCATGGGAAAACTAAGGTCCAGAGAGGTTAACGAGCTTGCCCAGGTTTGCACAGTTGATTAACTCTGGTGGTGAGATCTGGACCCAGGCAATGGCATCCTGGAGCCCAGGCTCCTAACTTTTAAGTTGTGGGGTCTCCTGAAGGTATGACAAACAAGGAACGCTTTGTCAGTTAGCACTAAGAAAACTATCTAACCTTTTCTGTCACCAGCAGTCCCAGGCTTCCTGCAAAAGGAAAGCAGGAGCTGCAAGAACATCGCAGGCTTGGAGATCAGGGCAATGGGCAGGAGTGGTGGGAGTGAGAATGTCCCCCACCCCTGAAAACAGGAGGCAGGCACAGTCTGTGGCAGAGGCCTGGACTTAAGAATAGACCACTAAAGAATTTCTTCCTTGGTACCTCTACCTACAAGCTGCTCTACCAATGGTTCCTAATCTGTAAAATGGGAAGATTATGCCAACCTCATGATGCCCCTTCAGGGATTAAAGGAAAGAAATCTTTTGTAGCAATTGATAACTAGCACATAGTAGGTACTCAGTGAATGACCTCACCTCTCCCTGAGAGGGACTGTTATTGTAGGTGGCAAGGTACAAGGCATGGTGGCACAACCAGAAAATGCCTGGACAAAAATCTGAAGGCACGAAAGCTCAGTGGTTAGAACTATGATCCCAGGGCTCTGGGTTGCCTGAATTCATATCCTGACTCTATTATTTACTACTCCTGTGACTTTGAGCATGGCATTTAACCTATCTGTGCCTCAGTTTCCTTACCTTTGAAGTGAGCATGATCACAGTACCTACTTTACAGCGTTTGGGAAATATTCATCTGGGTAAAGCAGTTAGAACAGTGCTCGGCATGTGGTAAACATCCAATAAATGCTAGCAATGATGACTTTGACTAGCTCTCTGCATGTTCTTGGGCTGAGGGACAGCTCTGGGCCTTCAGGGGGCTGTTTCATACCGCAGACCCACTATTTCCTTGCAGAACCCCAATCAGATCTGAAAGGGCAGAACTCTCCGCCCTTGGCCCAGTTGGATGAGCTGTGGAGGACAGGCAGTCTCCCATCAGTGGGTAGGAGGGGACTTGAAAATGATGACAATGACACCTGGCAAACAGCTGGGAGTGGGGGGAGTAAGGAAAGTGCATGCTCTTAGGTTTGTGCGTGTGCGTGCGCGTGAGCGTGCACACACACACACACGCCCCACTGGATTTATGTGCTTTTTGCATTTAAAGCCAGATTATAACTCACCTGAGTGAGTTCTTTTATTTCTCTTGCTTTGGCTCAAAATGAGGACCCACGCAAGGGGCCCCTGAGTGACCCAGGAGTAATTCCCACCTTGATGGAGGAGAGCCCTGGATACAGGCCTGAGGAATGCAGAGAGGACCACTCCATCCTCACGCAAGTGAAAACGCAGAGGCGCTCTCTGACCCAGCCAGAAATTTCACTCTGCAAGGTTTGGTTAGAAAACTACAGGAAGACCGGATTTTACCGGGAGAGGAGAGAGAGAGGGAGAAGCTAGGCGCAGAGAGAATAGCCAGAGAGAAGCCACACCGACATCTGTAATCTAAGAATCGGGCCTCGCCGCGTTCTTTAATCCCTACAACTCCAGGGACCTGCTTATTGTTCAGCCCGCGCCTGCCACTTCAACCAGGGAGCCTCCACCCCAGCGCCGCTGAGGTGTGCGGGGCTCTAATTGGAGGGGTGGAGGTTGCGAGCCCGGAGCCCTCCCTCCCCCGCCGCCCCACGCCGGCCCCCGCGCCTACCTGAGCTGGCGCGGTTCGCAGTCCACACCGGGCAGCAGCAGCCGGGCCGCCTGGCGGACGTCGTCGCTGTCCATGGAGAAGCTGCGGCGGTGGCCGGCGTGCGCCACGGCCACCCGGATCCACTCCATCAGCGGCGGCAGCACGAGGAAGGGCCTGCGGCGGGAGGAGGGACCCAGAGATGCGCGTTAGGGCCTCCCTGGAGGCAGGGGCTGCCGGCTCGGCCCCACCCCCTGCTCGGGGGATTCCCCCCCATCTCCCGACTCCCCAGCCCACTCCCCGCTTTCCCTGGAGACCCTGCCTCTGAATTCCAGAGTAGTGGGAGAGCCTTTGGAGACATCCGGACCGCACCGGTGACCCCGGGGCAGGCTCTCTGGAATCCTTGGGCCTCAGTTTCCTCATCTGTAACCTGGGGATAACGTGACTAGGAAAGGCTAGGAGGTAACTGATCTGGGAATATTATCCCTTTCGGCGATCATGTGAACATAAGGATGAGTCACTTGAAGCACCAAGCGCAGGGTCTGGAGCGGCGGAAAACCAATCAGCGCCCGGTGTTATTTCTATTTGGGGCTCCCTGATTGTGGGCCCAAGCCTAAGGTGTCCGCTAGCGCTTCCTTCCCATCTGCAGCCTGGTCCCTGTTGTCTTTCTGGAGCTCTTTCAGGCTTCAGCTCTGCCCAGGCAACATGCTGCCAAAAGGCTTTAGCACCTGGAAAAGGCTCTCTAAAGAGAGCCAGGTTAACAGGCAGCCTTCCCCCAGACCCAGCCAGGCTGGGCAGCCGCCCAGTGGCGCCCACAGTTTGAGGCCCCTTGGACCTTGGTCACACCCCTGAAACTCTGAGAGCCTCAAGTTCCCTGCCTGCTAATTGGGTCATGGTAGGCTGTTGCAAGCTTGTTGCAAGCATTAACTGAGACAATGCCTACCACTGAAGGACAACTTTCTAAGTGCAATGCATTTGTGCCATCTTCCTATTTCTTCCAGTGATGATAAACTCTGTCCTCACATTAGGATTACTGGAGAAGATTTTGAAAAAATAATGACACTTGAGTCCTGTCCCAGGCATTCTGATTTAATTGGTATAGGGTGCAGATGGACACAGGTAGTTTTTAAAACCTCCCCATGTGAATTTAATGGGCATCAGAATTATCTGGAGAGTTTGTTAAAATACAGACTGCTGGGTCTCATTCCCAGAGTTTCTGATTCGATAGATCAGGAGAAGTACCCAGGAAATGCATTCCTAACTGGTTCCTGATACGGATGCTGCTGGTCTGAGGACCACATTCTCAAAGAACCCCTGCTCTAAAGTCATCGTGAGAGGGCCTGGGAATCATCTGGCTCTATATCCAGCGATGGTGATTGTGTTAGAGTCCAAGAACTTAATTTTAACAGGCAGCCCCTGCGATTCTGATTAGGTGGCCCAAGGACCACACTTTGAGAAACGCACTATGTAGATCCAAAAGGTTTCCTGCCATTCAGCAAGGGTCAGACGAGCATGAAACCAGTGGGGTTCCCCAGGTGCAAAACTGAAGGAGGCCAGGTTGTGCAAATATATTCTGGGCATGTTTCTTGCCGCCCCCCGCCCTGGGGCTGCCATTCAGTCCAGCATGACCACCATGGCATTGAGAAGAGGATGACAGGTAGATGGGGTTACAAGTCAGCCAGCCCCCTTGAGAAATGCAGATGTCATGAGCTTCCCAGAAAGTTTTTGGTGGCAGGTGCCAGTTTTCCTAACGTCAGATCTATTTATCCGATGTTAATAATATTCAGCAGCTCAGCCATTTACAGTCATTCATGGTCTCATCTGAATGCCTAGGACCAACCTCTGTGCTAGTTATGATTATGCCCATTTCATTGATCAGGAGCATGATGTTGATTCAGGTTAAGTATCATGCCCTGGACCACAAGACTAGCAAGAGCTGGGAGTCAGACCCAAGTTATTTGACTGCATATCCTGTGTGCAGAAACCCCATGTGATATCGACATTCTGTTGTCCAACTTGGTAGCATGCACTCTGTTACTCAGCATGCACCTGTCACCCCAGGGGATCTGATCAGGTCATGGACTCTTGCTGGTATGCAATGGGCTAATTCCTGTTCATGCAGCTCAGCCTCCTGTCTGTAAGGCTTGAAGCCCTTTAAAAATCCACATCACATGTAACCTTCAAACCACAGGCTAAATCCCATTTCTCCCTAGATGTTCCTCCTGACTTTATCCCACTTGAATCCCTCGCATTGTGGGCCTCTCCCCAGAGGACTCCTCTGGCCTTACCCGCTGCTTCTGCAAATGCCCCATTAGAATGTGAACTCCACCAGGGCAGGGAATGGGGACTTCTTGGATCACCACTCCTGCTGCAGCCCCAGGACGCTGCCCGGCACACTGTAGGCATTTAATAAATATTTGCTCATGTCACAGACTAAGATTTACCAATTTCTTACTCGGTGAAACCAATAAAATTGCGTTTCTAGACCTGTGGACCTATCTGTGGGGCAGAGTCCCAAGGATTTTCTGCCTGAATCAGCCTGCTTCTTAGGCTGTCTCCCTCATTCTGCCATTCTCTCCATCACCTAAACTGAATCAGGCACTCAATAAATACACATTGACTTGAAATTGAATTGGATTCTACTGTCTCAGGTGAGCAGAACTTATTTTTGTCACAGTGTTTCCATCACTGTTGGAAACCAGCCCCAAGTGCTCAGAGAACTCCTCTCTGGATTAGGTTTCAGAGGCGCCTCCCACCATCATTCTTTTGCTCAGTGGCCCCAAAACACAGCCCACAACCCTGAGTCCCTGGGGGACTGTATCTCCATCACAGAACTGCCCTTGGGCTGCTGCCTTTCATGTTAGATGCCAAGAGAGGCCCAGGGCACACAGCCAACGCCTGGTGAATGCCAAAGAATAGAAAAAAAAAAAAAAAGGCTCTGCTGCCTTCAAAATAACACCTTTACCAAGACAGCTGGCAAGCCCCAGAATAAGACACCTTGAACCACAGGATTCCAGCCTCTCCTGGAATTTTCTATGTACCTATTCTCTCCTTTCAACATTGCCTTCTTTTTGTCACTCTGACCTTAATAGTTTATAAGCTCATGAATTCTTTGCCAGTAACTCATTTAAAAATCTTCTTATCTTGTCTACTCAGAGGGGAAAAATAGCATTATTTGTGATGTTTTCTTTGGAGGAATTGGAGACGGGAAAGAATTCGAGGGCCCTGAGTTGAGGAGAGGGTGGAGAATGCTGAAGAAAAAATCTTGCATTCTCTTTATACATTTTTTTTAAGAGAACAATGTTCCACTGGTTGTCTCCTTTATTCTGAAGTTGTTTGCAGTGACTAAAACCCAAAAGAAGCTTGAGGAGCTCATGGTTTAGTGAAGTGGTTCTTAGACGTCGTTGAACATCAGAACCACACGAAGAGCTTGTTAAAATGGCAACGGCCATGATTTTAAATCCAGAGTTTGGCTCCAATAGGTCTTGGGGTAGGGCCTGGGCATCTGCATTCTAAATAAGCTCCCCTGGAAATTCTGGAGCAAGGCAGGTTTGTGAATCCCTGACCGGGTGGCCTGAGATGAGCAGAGGAGGGAGATGGTCCACCCAAACAGGATAGTGGCCATCTACATCTTCACTGTGGTGTTAGGAGAGGTATATAGGGTGCAACTGGAGGCTCTGGAAGGAAAGAGAAAGCCGTGAGGGGCTTCCTTGCAGGGTCAAGCCAGCACGTCAGCTCAGGATGGTTGTTGAGCCCAGATTCAAGTAGGAGATGGAGAACATACATGGACACAGCCTTTCTCTGAAATGGTGAAGAAAGAGCTGGTGATGAGGCTGACCATCCAGGATGGAAAAGGAGTTTGGCTGGGGAGTCTGGGTACTAGAAAGAATGTTACAGGATGTGGGGAAGGCCTGGTTTGGGATTCCGCAGAACTGAATCCCAGCCCTGGATCTGCCAGGAACTCACTGGAAGGCTCCTCTGGCCCATCAATCAACGTTTTGGCTTTCAGTGTCTTCACCTATAAAATGGGGTGAGTTTGGATCAGATGGTCTATTTCAGGGCTCAGCAAACCTTTTCTATAAAAAGCTAGCTAGTAAGTATGTTAGGCTTTATGGGCCATATGGTCAGTCTCTGTTGCTACTACTCAACTCTGCCATTGCAGTGAGAACAGCCACAGATGATACACAAATGAAGGAGCTTGGCTGTGTTCCAATAAAACTTTACTTACAAATGCAGATGGTAGGTCAGAGGTGGCTACCATTAGCCTGTTCACTTCTTTCCAATGCTAATATTCTTTGATTCTATTGGAAAAACCAGTTGCTGGGGCTTTAGGAAGTACCTAGTGTGTGGACTAGGGAAGATGGAGAGAAAACCATGGAAGTCCTAATGATAGACAGAAAGTTTTGGGGAGATCAGAAGATAGGACCCTCCCACAAAGAGGTCATGGTTGGATATGGGGAATATTGAGCCACAGGCATATCCAGAGGTAGTATATTAAAAGGTATTGAAAGGGTTGCTGAGGGTGAGGTTGGAGACGTGGTAAAGAATGTGGAGTAGACATGTAACCTAGGAGTGAGAACATCCATGGGGTCTGGAGTTCATCTCACACGCTAAACTGCCTTGTTCTGGGGTTCAGAGAAAATACCTATTATTATGGGCTGAACTGTGTTCCCCCAAATTCCTATGTTACAGCCCTAGCCCCCAGTACTCAGAATGTGCCTGGATTTGGAGAGAGAGCCTTTGAAGAGGTAATAAAGTTAAAATGAGGCCAATAGAGTGGCCCTAATCTGGTCTGACTGGTGTCCTTAGAAGAAGAGGAGATTAGGACACGAGAGACACCAGGGTTGTGTGTGCACAGTGGGGCAAGAGGGTGGCCATGCACACCAAGGAGAGCGGCCTCAGAGGAAGACAACCCTGCCAGCAGCTTGATCTGGGGCTTCCAGCCCCTCCAGAGTGGGGAAGAAATCAATTTCTGTTGTTTAAGCCACCTGGTCCATGGCATTTTGTTATGGCAGCCCCAGCAAACCAATATACTTGAGGTTGGACATTTTGAAGAAAACTTGAGCAAAGGGTCCCCAAACCAAGAAATCCTATTTTGAGGTTTCAGTCTGCAGTAGAGGGGCTTCAACTGGAAGCTCAAACTCCTTAGAAAGCTGATGGTGTTTGGTTTGTTTCCTTTGACCTAGTGCAGTAGGGGATGGGGTCAAAGCATTTGAGGATTGTACAGTGCTGTGGTTAGGGGCACGGGCTCTGGAGAAAGACTGATTGGAACGGGATTCCAGCTCTACCTTCTAGCGGTGGGAACCCTGAACAAGATATTTCAATTGTCATGCCTCAGTTCTCTCACTGGGAAAATGGGGATAATAACAGCACCCACTTCAGAGGGTATGGTTGGCTGAAGAATGCCCCCACCCCTAACCCAAGATGTCCACATCCTAATCCCTATAACCTGTGAAAGCTGCCTTATCTGGCTAAATGGACTTTGCACGTGTGATTAAGTTCAGGATCCTCCAAGTGGGCCCTAAATGCGATGACAAGGGTCTTTATCAAAGGCAGGCAAGAAGGTCAAAGGAGAAAGGAAAAGAAGCAGTGGAAGAGGTTGGTGTAATGAGAGGAGGAGCCATGAGCCAGGTAATGCAGGCGGCCTCTAGAAGTTGGAGAAGGCAAGGAAATAGATTCTCTCCCAGAGCCTCCAGGAGGAACCAACCCTTCCTACACCTTGACTTTAGCCCAGTGAGGGTGATTTTAGACTTCTAGCTGCCAGAACTGTTAAGAGAAGAATTTTGTGTTGTTTTAAGCATCCATGTGTGTGGTAATTTTTTACAGCAGTCACAGGGAACAAATAAACAGGGTTATTGGAAGAATTGAATGGGATGATGTATGTAGCGTGGCGCCCAGTACCGAGAAAGTGCTCAATAAATGGGGGCTGTTATTATCATCACCACCAACATTGTTTTTAGTATCACTCACCTTCTCCCTGTCAGGTGCAGGAAAAGGCCTTGCTACACAGAGCGACATAGAGGGATGTTCCTGCCTTTTCTTTACAAATAGATGCAAACCTCTGCAGTTGCTATAGCCTTCCCTTTGTAAACTATGCGGCCCTGACTTTTCATCTTTGTTATTTGTTGAGTGTTTCTTAGACTGGAGAGGAATTTAGATATTTGTGGTTTAGGAAGCTCATAACTCCAGAGACACAGAGAGTGAAGGAAAAGCAGCTATGCTGATAGTAGACCATATCCGGTGCTGGTTTCTATAGCAATACTCATTGCAACATCACTGCATCTGTGGGCACCAAAGTCAGGAAGATGGTAGAGGTAAGAGGTGGCCACGGCTGGTTACTATAGTGATAGCCCTACTGTGCGAGGCACGGTCCAACTGCCCACGAGGGTGGTTTCTGCAGATGTCCTGGAGTGGGGGAAGCCAAGGTAGTGTTCTAGGTCAGTGCTTCTTATATGTTTCTGTGCCTTTGAGTCACCTGGGATCTTCTTAAAATGCAGATTCCGATTCAGAGGGTCTGGGGCAGAGCCTGAGATTCTGCATTTCTTTCATTTCTTTCTCTCTTTTTTTTTTTTTTTAGATGGAGTCCTGCTGTGTCGCGCAGTGATCTCGGCTCACCGCAACCTCTGCCTCCTGGGTTCAAGCAATTCTCCTGCCTCAGCCTCCTAAGTAGCTGGGATCACAGGCATGCACCACCACGCCCAGCTAATTTTGTATTTTTAGTAGAGACAGGGTTTCACTATGTTGGCCAGGCTGGTCTTGAACTCCTGACCTCAGGTGATCCACCTACCTTGGCCTCCCAAAGTGGTGGGATCAGAGGCATGAGCCACCGCACCCAGCTGAGACTCTGCATTTCTAATGAACTCGAGGTAATGATGCAGCTGCTGGTCTATGGAACATATTTTGAGTAACCATGACCCACAGGGAATCATGACTCAAGCCAGAAACCAGGGAAGGTGAATTCTGTTATTAAGTGGGGGAGAAAAAGGGGTCACAGGTCCAGGACACAATGGAATAGAAGGAGTTGAGCTGGTGCATCAGATTGACAGAGCCTGGTTCACGAGCCTTTGTCAAGCTGCAAGTGAGGCTGGGAAAAGTTAGTGCCTGGTGGCTTCAGTTTTTATCATAAAGGTGGATTCTGTCTCCACCTGGATTCTCATTTAGTCTTCCAACAACCCTATGAAGCACTGCAGTCTTGGGGAGTTTGTTCTGAACCAAGCATTGTCTGCAGACGATTTTGTATTCATAGCAGTATTTAGTATCATCCTGGGAATATAAGCACTTGAGAAAGACACCTTGTGATGTTAATTTTATGTATCTACTTGGCTAGGTCACAGTATCCAGATATTTAGTCAAACACTAGTCTGGACATTACTCTGAATTTTTAGATGAGATTAACATTTAAATCAGTAGGCTTTGAGTAAAGCAGATTATCTTCCATAATGTGGATGGGCCTCATCCAAACAGTTGGAGGCATTAAGAGAAAAAAAAGACTGATTTTTCCCCAAAGAGGGAATTCTGCCAGTCGACTTGAGCTGCAACCTCAACTCTTTTCTGGGTCTCCAGCCTGCTGACCTACCCTGCAGATTTTGAACTTGCCAGTATCCACAATCTTGTGAGCCAATTCCTTAAATCTGTGTGTATATATATAGCATATTAGCCAAGGCTCTCCAGAGAAACAAAACCAGTAGGATATGTGTGTGTTGATCAATCTGTCTCTCTATCTGTCCACTCACCATCTATTCCTTCCATCCATCTATCCATCCGTCCATCCACCCACCCACTCATCCATTCCATCCACACATCCATCCATTCATCCACCCAGCCACCCAGCCATCAATTTATCCAACCAGCCACCCATCCATTCATTCATCCACCTACACATCCACCCAT